GTGTGGCTATTGTTACTAAATATTTGCTTAAGTCGCATATAATGGTTACTGCGAACCTATTACCATTAATGGACTCAGGCAAGGGTCCTATTGTGTCTATAACTACAACGTCAAAGGGCTTGCAAGGCGTTGGGGTTAGTACTAAATTTTCTTTAGTTTTGGGTTTTACTTTATTTAATAAACATTTCTCACAGCTTCTTACGAATTTAGCAATATCGCGTGTCATATTTTTCCAATAGTATTTTGTACGTAATTTTGAATAAAGTTTTTTGTTTCCGCAATGCCCGCCTGATATCGGGTCGTTATGGTAAATTGTCATGAGTTTAAGTTTCTTGTCGTCTTCAGTTATTGTTTCCACAGGGTCTGTTAGTATAATTTGTAACGATTTTAAATCTTTGTTTCCACTAATTTTTAAGTCTGTAATCGAAAATTGTTCAAAGAATGAATCAATTTTTTGCCATTCAATTTCTTTAATGTTATGATTGCCGGCTTGATGTTGAAGCCTCAAAAGTAGTTCATCTAAATTTGCTATTTTGTTAACAACCTCAAAATTGATTAACTCGAGTTTTCTATGTTTTAAATGCGCATATATATTAATACTTGAAATTTCATCATTTTTTTCGTAAGTAATTTTTGTTTTTATCCGTGGAATGTTTTTTGAAAAATTGTAAGAAAATTTGTCGTAAACTTGTACTGTGGAGTTATTTGTGTGATTTTCTTCGTACTGTGGTTGCATTTCTACGTTTTGTTTTGCCATCGATCTAGTTTTTACTGCTAAAATATGTTTTGTCGTGTCTTAAAGTTCGTCAATTGTGATTCGTGATAGTGCATCCGCACCAACGTTTGTTTTGCCTTTTATATGTTGTATTGTAAAATTGTATTCTGAAAGTTCCAGTCTTATTCGCGAGAGTTTTGACGAAGGGTCTTTCATATTAAAAAGGTAAACTAATGGTCGGTGATCAGATCTTACAGTAAAGTGTGTGCCATAAACGTATGGCCGAAATTGCTTGATTGCGAAATATATTGCTAGAAGTTCGAGTTCTATAATTGCCTTTTTTTGTTCTGCTTTATTGAAAGCCTTAGAAGCAAAACAAATTGGTAAGTCATTGCCGTTGTGGTTTTGGCTTAAAATTGCACCGCATCCGGTTTTAGATGCGTCGACTGTAATTATGAATTCTTTGCTAAAGTCAGGATACTGTACAAGTTTAGGAGACATTAAAGAAGATTTAAGTTTTTCAAAAGCTTGCTCACAGGAGTTATCCCATTTAAATTCTACATTTTTTCTGCTCAAACGATTTAAGGGTGCTGCCAGAGAAGCAGAGTCAGGTATAAACCGTCTATAATAGTTTGCAAACGCTACCAATCTACGCACTGCGTCTTTATCGCATGGCTTTGTGTACTTTTTAGTGGCTTCTATTTTTGTATCATCTGGCAGTAGACCTCTAGATGAGCACTTGTGTCCTAAGAAAGTTACCTCAGATCGTAGAAAATTACATTTATTTGGGTTAAGTCGCAAGTTGAACTTTCTGCAAGTTTCGAACACTTTTTCTAGATTTTTAAAATGGTGCGCTTCACTGCATCCAATAACTATTACATCGTCGCTTGATTAGGCGAAATACCGGAAAATGCTATAGACATCATTCTTGAAAACGAGTTAGGTGCTAAATTAAGACCAAAAGGCAAGACCTTCCAACGGAAAGCTCCCCGATCAGTGCTAAAAGATGTTATATCTCTAGAATTTTTATGTAACGGGATTTGGTGAAAACCAGAATACAGATCCAGAGTTGAAAAATATTTTGCTCTTCCAAGGTTATCTAAAATGTCGTCTATACGTGCTAGCGGAAATTTGTCTGCAATTAGTTTTTTATTTACTGCTCGAAAGTCTACACACATACGGTACGATTTTTGACCTGTTGGATCTTTTTTCGGTACTAAAATTAGAGGACAGTTATAATTGGAGTAGCTTTCCTCTATTAAATTGTTTTTCAATAAATTATCGACTTGTTTCTTTATTTCTTCGCGCTGTGAATATGGCAATCTGTAAACTGGTGTTTTGTCTGTCAGTCTCAATTTTTGTTCGTAAAAGTTGTTCAGAGTCATAAGGTCGGATTTTAAGGCAAATACGTTGGAATATTTTGAGCAAAGATCAAGCAATTTATTTTTAGCATAATTGGGTACTTGTTTTTCTAAAATCGATTTTAGTTCTACGATGCGTTTCGGATCAGATGTGGGTTCGTTAATTTTATAAACGTTGAAGTTTTTTATGTCTTCGGTTTGAATATTGAAATTTCTTACGTATTTTACTTCGTCCGTAGTGTTTATTAGTTTTAGTATCGGGTTTTTCGTGTCAACGATACATTTCGCTGTAAAAGCACCACTACAAACTTCCTGAGCGTCTACAAAAACAGGGTTTTTGGATTTACCCAACTTAAATAACCGAAAAACTTCGCATCTAGGTGGAATTACTAAGCTGTCGGTAGTAGTACCGTGCAAAATAGAAACGCTGATCCTTTCTGTCCCCAAACCAAAGGTTATGCTATCGTTTGCATAGTTAATTATGGATTTGTTTTTTTTTTTAGTCTTTTCCGAGTATGCCGTCCGAAGGAATGTTAAAGCTGTCATTTACAACGTGAAGAGTGTGCGGAATGAAAATGTCTGATACTACCAAATTTGTATTTATTGTGCCCAAGGTTTGGCCGTTTCTGATGTTACGCCCGTGATATTAATAATGTTATTGCTGTTTATTGCGGATTTGCTTGTTAGGCTTGAAAATTTTATAAGCGAAATGTCTGCTTGAGAGTCTACTAAAAAAGTGCATTGTTTGTGAGAATCACTACAATTTATTTCAATGAAATCGGAATAGTTGAGATTTAGGCAGTAAATGGATTTTTCGTCTGTAAAAGTCGTTAGTTATTTAAGTCTAGCTCCCCCAGTGTTCGCGCCTGAGGGGCTTCGGCGTTTAAAGTCCGAACATTGGCAGAATTTCGTGTATTTGAACGCGTTTGATTGTTATTTCTACTGCTTGAAGCCTGACTGTTGTTACCATTATTGTAGTTATTTTGTCTATTACTGAAACTATTATTCCTATTCTGATTGTTGTTTCGATAGCTAGTATTGCCGCTGTGTCTATTTGAATTGCCGTTAAACCTAAAGTTGTTATTGTGATATCTGTAGTTATTGCTGCCTCTATAACCTCCTCGAAAATTATTTGTCCGTATGCGACGTGACCTAAAAGCCAACACCTGCTGCTCTTTTATTATATTGTCGTGGACAATCATCTTCGCTACAACATCTTTCGAGTCGCTGAAGGTTGACGATGCTAGTATTGACTTTACCATATCTGAACGGCTGTTGAGCCTACAAACATTTATTGTTTGCTCAACTGCCATCTCGTGAGCTTTCGCTTGTGTCATTCCTTCAATAATAAGCGAACGCTCCAGGGAATCTGCGAGCTCCTCTACCTGTTTCGCAAAATCTGAATAATTGTTGTTATGCACTTTCAAAGCTGCAATTTTACCAGCGAAAACTTACGAGTTATCTGGTTTTATTTTGTTTGACAGCGCTTCTTTAATTTGACTAACTGAGCTTATTTGTGTTGGTAGGGACTCGCGAGCTTTACCTTCAAGTTTGGATTTCAAAAATGCAATAAATGTTGTAGTGAGCCTTTCGTCTGATAATTCTTCAATAAGGGTAATTTTATCAATAAACGAGGCAAGTGATAGCGGGTTACCACTATAATTTTCCCTTATAATCGATGCGCATAAACTTATAAATGATTTCTTTTGCTCAGGTGTTGCCATTTTTGCGTTGGTATTTTGAAAGAAGTTAATATTTGGTGAGCTAGTGGTTACGTAAGGGGGGTCGTCGAATCCCAAAAAATCTTCCAGAAAAGACAAGGAACGACTTTTTTTAATACTCTAAACTTCATGGGTGCCAGTTGATCGTGCGTCAGCAAATTCTTCGTCGGAATCTGCGTCCCAATACAAAAAGTTTTCTATAATTAATTCGTCGAAATCTTCTGGTACTTTTATTTTGCAACCAATTTTATAAAAGCACTTAAGTAGCTTTTCTCTACACCGCCATAAACTTTCAATTAATGACTTTGGCTTAACCCTTTGTTTCAAGTGCGAATTTACTAGTATTAAAATGTTGTTATAACTTTTTATTAAAGATTCTTTATATTCCTCTAACTTGCCCTCTTTTGTTGAGAAGGACGACTTTGTAACACACGTTTTGTAACTTTTGCAAAAGGAGTACGCAAATCTTTAAATGCAGTATCAAAATCTGGCATTTGACAAACCCGGCATAAATGTTAACAAAAAAAAATTTTGATTTATTTAAATTATGACAAAAAGATGTTGGATTTTGTACGCAACTATAGGCACAGTAAAATTTTCACAATTGGCATTCAATCGGCATTAATCTTTGTTTTAAAAAAAAAGTTGTAAACGTGGCAATCTGATGGCACGGCCTGGTTTATAAGAAAAACATGTATCGATGAGTTTGATTTTATACAAAATTTCAAAAAAAAGTTTCCAGCACTCACTCGGCGAAGCACAGAAAACAAAATGTTTGTTTGATAATATCAAAATTTGAATTAAACGTTTTGGAAAAGTTTTCGTTAAGCAATTTGCAAGGCACTGTTTATTAAAAATTTTAAATTGTTAAATTTAAGAAAAGCTGCGTGGAAACATTTTACACGCTAGTGTAATTCGAAAATGTAAGAAAAATCATGTATGAAGGTCAGAAAAACTTTAAGTTATAGAACACTTGAAAAAGGAAGGTTGGTTTGATACCAATAATTTGCACGCGACTGTATTTCTGAAATTCCATTAGAAACAGTAACACAAGTATGTACATATGTATATGATAAAGTATATATTGACAATTTTAACTATGTAACTGTATGTTAGTATGTACATAAGTATATATAAGGAAAAAATTTTTTGTTGTATTCAATTTAGTGTACAGTTGTATTTAATTTAAAAATGTTTAGGTAAAAAATCTCGTAATCTTAAAATCTATTTCCAAAATATGTCTGGAATGCGTACTAAAACGAAGGAAGTGTATTTAGCGACCTCGCGAGCTGAATATGATATTTATGTATTTGTCGAAACCTGGCTTAACTCAGACTTCTTTGATGAAGAGTATTTTAATCCAAATTTATTTCAAATTTATCGAAAGGATAGAGACGCTATAAAAACTGGTCACCGTAAGGGCGGTGGTGTTTTAATTGCCGTTAAAAGCTGTTTACGTTCTTCAAATATTCAACTATTGGATGGCGACTCTCTTATTGATCAACTGTGTGTGTGTATTTTTGGCCTTGCTCGTAAATTACTGGTATGTGTGTCTTATCTACCACCAATTAGTACGGATGATCTGTATAGTTGTCATGTTAATAATATAATGCATCTTGTTGAGCATAATGAGAATTGTAATTTCTGCTTCTTAGGTGATTTTAATCTCACTGATTTGAAATGGTCATATTTGCAAAACAATGATATTTTAACTCCAACAAATATTAATAGAGCTCATGAGATTTATTTTATAGATAGTTTCCTTAGCTTTAATCTCATTCAAATCAATACATTTTTTAATAAATTGAATAAAATTTTAGATCTTATTTTTGTTGATGAAAACTTAATATTTAGTTTGAATGAATGTGGTTTTCCGATTAGCGCCACTGATAAACATCATGTGCCTCTCATCGTATCACTAGAATTCTATGATATTTTTTCCATTGAAGATAAAAATTTCGACTCTTTCGACTTTTGTGGTGCCGATCATAATGAATTAAATGCTGCCATTTCGGATGTAAATTGGAAGACTATTCTGAATTCGCAAGATGTCTCTTTGTGCTTTGAATCTTTTCTACATAAATTGACTGAATTATTCACTAATAAACTTTCACTACTACCGCCTCGACTTCATAAACTCCCGTGGTATACTAAAAATCTTAAAGCTTTAAAAAACAAAAGAAATAAATACTACAAGCTGTATAAGGAACGCAACATCATTAGCTTTAAAGATAAATATTACTATTATATGAAGCAATTTAACGTCTTAGACAAATTTCTATATAATAAATATATAAACAGATTTGAATCTGAGCTGAAAGTAAACCCCAAGGCCTTTTGGAACTATATTCGCTCTAAAAGAGGTGGGTCCAATATTCCAACTTGTATGCACTTTAATGGGAAGAGCTCACAGTCACTTACCGATTCTGTAAATTTTTTTGCAGAGTTTTTTAAATCGAATTTCGTTACAGATGACGAGTTTGTTAATACTTCAGTAAATTTCCCTCCTCATTCTTCCTCAGATTTTGGGTCTCTAACCTTAACAGAGTTAGATATTTCGATTGGTATTTCCTGTCTTAAATCTTTCATGAAAAGTGACAATGATGGTCTTTCTTCATATTTTTTAAAGCAATGCGTCTCATCCATCTGTGTCCCATTATGCATAATTTTTAATCTTTTTCTTTCATTAGGCATTTTTATTGATCGTTGGAAGACTGCATCCATTACCCCAGTTTTTAAGTCTGCAAGTAGGAATGATGTCTCAAATTATAGGCCTATTTCCAAGTTAACAGCTTGCTCCAAACTTTTTGAAATAGTCGTCAAAGATAAGCTTTCTTTCGCTACTAAGAGCATATTAGAATCTCGTCAGCATGGTTTTGTTCGCGGTCGCTCAACGGTTACTAATTTAGTGACTTTTTCGGAATATTGTGTCTCATCCTTCAAATGTGGGTCTAAGGTGGACACTATTTATACAGACTTTTCCAAAGCCTTTGACAAAGTTTCCCATTCTATTTTGTTACGTAAGTTGGAGTCTTGGTTTTCACTCGGTATTTTTGTCCTGGTTGAAATCTTATCTTTCGAACAGATTGCTGTTTGTTGAAATTGAAGGTTACAGATCTAACAGCTTTATTGCAACTTCCGGTGTACCACAGGGTAGTGTCCTTGGCCCTCTGTTATTTGTTTTATTTATAAACGATATTGGGAACTGTTTTAAATATTCCGAGTTCCTCCTCTACGCAGATGACCTTAAACTCTTTAAAAAAATTACTTGTGTCTCTGATACACTTTATCTACAACATGATCTGGATAATGTTATTATTTGGAGTCGGGTAAATAAATTATCACTGAACATTAATAAATGCTACCATAAGACCTTTTCTAGGTCTTCAAACATCACCAACTCGACTTATAGTATTTTGAACCATAAACTGACCTCAGTCAATGATTTTATAGATCTGGGTGTTGTGTTTGACTCGGGTTTCACTTTTACAAATCATGTTAATTACGTTATCCCGAAGGCTTATAGCAACTTAGCATTTCTGCGTAGATATGCTAAGGATTTCAAAGATCCTTATACCAGGAAAACTCTTTTCAATGCGCTGGTACGTTCTAAATTAGAGTATGCATCTATAATATGGAATCCAATATATAGCCTTTATGCTAGTAGGCTTGAAAGAGTCCAGCGCAAATTTGTTCGCTTTGCCCTACAGCCGCTTAACTTTTCTGAGCCTTTACCGGCCTATAATTCTCTCTGTAAGCTTATTGATGTAAAATCACTGGAAAGTAGAAGACTTATCCAGTCACTGATGTTTATATATGATCTGGTTAATGGATATATTGATTGCCCTGTTTTACTTAACCAGATTTGTTTCAATGTTCCAAACAGAATTTTGCGTTTTCAACTACCTTTTTATATGCTTCCAGTTAAGGCAAATTACTTTACTCTAGCACAAATATATAGAGCCCTCACAGAGTTTAATAAAATCTCAAAAATTGTAAATATTGAGTTTTCATTGCCGAGATTGATATTTAAATCTAATAATGAAACATTGTATAATTAATATAATTTCTATTATTCTAACCTATTATGTAATCTAGTCTGTAAGATTGTCAAAGTCATAGACTAAAATAAATGAAATTAAATGAAATGAAAAAAGTAAAGTACATATGTATGTATGTTCATACCATCAGATCCCACGAAGTCAGCTTCCTGCGTACCGTTGCTCGTATTGCTTGCTATGTAGTTATGTTGCCATGTAATGATGTGCTGTCCTAGTTGTAGCTGTTGGTTTTTGCTTTACGCTGCTATCGCACCCTGCTCAGCGATATGTATATATGTTGTTGTTGCTGTTTACCGCTGCGTGTCGCGCCTTGTCATAGCGACACTTGTAGATGGCGTGGTTTTAACGCCGTTATAGCGGTTTGCACTGGTCTAGCGGTTTGCGTTGGTGGTACAGCACGGACCGCGTGGCGTAGTTGCGATGCCGTTAAGGCCTGGCGTGTATGTGATGCCGTTATGTCGTGCTTAGGACTGGTGGTACAGCACGGTCGCAGTTTTATAGTTTTGTCTTTTGTTTTTGGTTTTATTGTTCTATTGCCACTCATGTGTTTTCTACCACTTTTGTAAAGTTGAGTTTTTTTTTTAAATTTGGTACGACCGCTTTTTTTTTGGTTTTTGAATGTTTTATATTTTGTTTTTGTTTATGTGTTTTTTTTTTTTTATAACTTTAGCTAATTATAACCGCCCCTTTTTTATTTATTTTTTTTTCACATCTATATGCACATTTATGTATGTATGCGCACTGCAAGTTTTTAGTTAGTTTAATATAAGTTCATTTTCGTTGTTTTTTCCACATCTGTATGCACGTGTATGTATGTTTTCTTATTTTTTGTATTTTAACCTTTTTTTTTTGGATTTTTGTAGTTTTTTTTTTGTGTTTTTGTAATAATTTTCAAAGTTTTTGATTTAGTTAACCGCCACCGTATAGTTGTTGGTAATGACT